ATTTTCCCACCAAGATTGGTTTCAAACTCCACCTTGCTGCCAGTGACTATGGAGCGGGAAAGGGATGTATCACCACACAGATACACCAGATATCAGTAGCTCAAACATAGTGAGACAATTAGGAACCGATGATTTTTTTAAAAAAATATTTTTCAATGTTTGTTTTTAAAACATAATTTATTCAATTTTTAATTGATATAATTTTGTGTTTAGTAGTAAACTTGAGGAATTCTTGGAAAATGTAGAGGTTTGGTACTTGAGCATAGTCCCAGCCTGTCCAAGCACTCTGCTGGATGTCATGGCATGGCATTTGCTGCTGATGGGGACTGACCTATAGTGCAACCTGGAAGTCAGTTTCCAGTGACCATCTCCCCATGCAATCTGCCACAGAGATGTGCCCGTGAGACCTTTAAGAGTAGACTTAGTGGTGAAATAGCAGTCGAGGATCCTTGCTTATAAAGTTATTGTTGTCTCCAAATTGTCTCAAGCCCTGGTCCCTGTTCTTCATTTCCCACAATGATGCAATGTCCCTTGGGTACCTACCTCTTTGGTGGCCAGTGGGGAGGGAGACAGATCAGCACTTTCCTTGGGAAGTCACTGAGACCCAACATTAGCCACTCTCATGTCCCTGTTGTCTTTGGCTCCTTGGTTGGTATTCTCATGACTGTAGATGGAGACTGAGCTTTCTTTCTTGGCTTCCCAGACCCAAATAATCAGATAAAATTATATTAATTACAACACTGGCCAACAGCTCAGGTGTATTCCTAGCTAGCTCTTATATCTTTTTTTTTAAAAAATATTTATTTATTTATTTATTGTGTGTACAATATTCTGTCTGTATGCCTGAAGGCCAGAAGAGGGCGCCAGACCTCTTTACAGATGGTTGTGAGCCACCATGTGGTTGCTGGGAATTGAACTCAGGACCTTTGGAAGAGCAGGCAATGCTCTTAACCACTGAGCCATCTCTCCAGCCCTAGCTCTTATATCTTAAATTAACCCATTTCTATTAATGGGTATATTGCTACAAAGCTATGGCTTACCAGTAGGATTCTGGCATCTTTCTCCTTTGACAGCTACATGGAGTCTCCAAGTCCACCTTCTTTCTCCCTGCATTCAGTTTAGTTTTCCCACCTACCTATATTCTGCCCTGTCATAGGCCAAAGCAGCTTCTTTATTAACCAATGGCAATAACACATATTCACAGTATACAGAGTGGACTTCCACATCAGATGACTCCTCCTGACTTGAGGCTGGTGCCTCACAACCACACTGGGAATGAGAATTGATGTTGACTTCGGTGTCTTCTTAAATGCAAAAGGTGGCTGTGCTGGGTCACATGCAAATGTTTATTGTGTAACCAGCAGCTTAACTTCTGAGTTGGTGTTCTAATTTAGTGATTGTAATTGTAGTTTGCAATGCCGTTCTGGACTAGCTACTTTAACGAGTCTCCCATCACTCAGCTAGGCAGTGCAAGCTATGTTGTACTCTTTCTGGACTGTCAGCATCAGGCAAGGGATGCATAAAGGGTGCACACTTGTAACAGTGAGCTAATGTGTGCAGTGGCTGTTGTTGTGGTCCTTGTGTTGTAAGGACCCAATCCCAAGGAGTCTCTGAAAGTGCAAAAATGATGTTTTTTCAGACTAGTTACATGGGAAAGAAATAAGACCTATGTTGATGGAGGTTTCTGTCCGGCCAGGTTCCCAGCCGTTCAGGTCCAAATAAACACACAGAAGTCTACTTTAATTATAAACTAGTTGATCTCTGAGCTCAGGCTTCTTATTCACTAATCCTTACATCTTACATTTACCCATTATTCTTGTCTGTATTAGCCATGTGGCTTGGTACCTTTGTCAGCGAGGGATTCTCATCTTGCTTTCTCTCTGTCTCTGACTGCAGACTGTTTTCCTCTTCCCAGAATTTTTCTGTTCTCATTTGCCCCACCTCTACTTCCTGCCTGGCTACTGGTCAATCAGCATTTATTAAGCTAGTACAAGAAATAAATTTTTATAGGGTAAAACCATTGTCCCACAGCACTTCCCCCCCCCCTTTTTTAAAAACAAGAACTCTGAATGGAATCTCCTTTGTTTAGCTTTCTTCCTGACAGTTATCCATACAACTTGTAACCAACACTGTAAACAAAGAAAAAATTCATAATTCATTTTTTTGGGGAATGTGGGTATAGTTTTCCAGGTCATTTCCTGCTGATTGGGGGCACTGATAATCTTACAGAAGAATTATGATCAAGTCCTGACTGGAGTATCCTGTGAGGCTTGATCATCTCAGTAAGCAGTCTTGAAGCTGTTCTGGATGTAGATCTCAGATATCTGGGCCATTTGCTTCTATTAGAGATTTCTCAGGGGGTCTTCCTTGATCGAACCTGATTTTTCTTAGCCCAGAATGAATCTCACAGCCTCTCATTTCCGGTGGTAACAAAAACAAAACCTCCTCTCCAAAGTAACATATTTTTGACTTCAGTTTTGAAGTCAAAGCATTTTCAAAATATATATGTTTGATTAATCCAGCAGCATTTATAATCAATGTCTTTTAGCAGCTGTTTCTCCTTCCTCAGTATTCAAACAATTCAAAGACAACACAATGATACACAGTATCCAGACTCTGTGTATTTTTCATCTTTATGTGGCTTTATTTTAAACTCTATTTCTTTTATTTTTAATTTTTGTTTTTTGAGACTAGGTTTCTCTGTGTATCTTTGGGTGTCCTGGCACTCACTCCATAGAGCAGGCTGTTCTTGAACTCGCAGAGATCTGCCTGCCTCTACCTCATTTGTTGGGATTAAAGGTGTGTGACACCACACCAAACTACTCTCTTTTTTCTTTTAAGGACTTTATCATTTTCTTTTCTCTCTCAAACCTAAATATATTTTTAAATATACTCTAAACAATTTAGAGGTTTTCTTCATCTTTGAATTTATCTTTACTGTATATCTCTCTTTTTCTGACCACATGAATCTTTAATTTGCTAAGTGATATGGCTAGGATTAAAGCCACGACTTTGACAGCTGGATCCACCTTATTCCTTAGCTTTCTGAGAGACTAGCTTCATGACAGAGGTACTGGTGGGAGCCATGTTTATTGCCACGACTCTATGGAGTTTCAAAGTCCCTGACACCACCAAGAATCATGCTGTTGGCTATTCATAAACACCATTTAAGTGTTTGCTGGAGGTCTTCTTAAAAACATCTGCAAGATTTTTGCAGCTAAAGCTGAGTCAGGAAACCTCTCTTAAAGGAGCTGCAGCCTACCGCCAACAAGCAGAGCTCATCTGAAAAAAATGTGGCTAAACTTTGTTTTTCAGTGTCTAGATTTCCTTTCCAAACTCTCTCAGATTTTAAGTAAATTCAGTTGTCCACGTTGGGCACCAATGATGGCAGAAGATACAAAATAATCCCACACTAGTTCAGAATTATGTATAATAAAGGATTATTTATTTAGGGGAGACTCTCAGATCACTGTCCTCGATCACAGTCCTCTGCAGGAAAGGGGAACAGGAACAGAGTCTAGCAGCCAGAGTGAGAGCCGAAAGCAGGAGAGCCCGAGCACAAGCTTTACAGCTGCATTTGCAGTATAAGAGACCACGCCCAAGTGGGCTGGTATCTTAAAGGCTATTGGCCAAAGGAGCTCCCACAGCAGACCTAAGATGCATTCACAGTGGCCCCAGCAGTGCATGCCTTTGGGATAGCCTGGTCTTCGGGAAGTCTCTTCTGGAGACAGAGTTAGCCCAAACTAAAGAGAGTAAAGAGTATATAGAGTTCTAGTAGAAGAAAACTGTAACCTAAGCAGCTAGCAGGGAGAGCCAAGACAGGGAAGAAAGATCGTGTTGTGTGTTGTATGTGACCTGTAAAAGCCCCATTGCTCCTGCCTTGGATCCTGGTCCCCAGCTGGTGGTGCTTTTCTGAGAGTTGGAAAGCAGGTTGTCAAGGGTGTGTCTTTGAAGGCTGTATCTCCCCCTTCCCTCTGCTTCGTCTTCAGTGAGCAGAGATCCTCTGTGACTCCCCGCACCATGATCACAGGTTTCAGCGCAGGCTCAGAGCCTCAAGCAAGGAATACAGATCAACAGATCTGCAAACGGGCTCACCTGTGCCCCACAAGCCGTCTGTGTCAGAGAATTCTGTCATAACGGCACCAAGTCTGATGGATACAGCAGGCTAGCAAGCATGTGAAAAGATGTGTTTGTGTGATGCGGCTCAGGACAGGATCACCAATGGGAGTGCTCCCTGTCCAGACGCCCTCCCGGTGTCTACCCTTCAGTGGGCATATGCAGACCTGAGAGACCCGGCATATGCATCCTCTCGCTCATAAGTGACCGGGTCTCAGAGTGAGCAGTGCTTAGGAACTCACGATTTCAGAGAAGTTGCTGTAAAGGCCTTCCACCGTGTTAGCAGTGTGGTGTGTTTTTGTCAAAATGCCAGGCACACGCTGTCTGCAGAAGGTGGGAGAAAGCACAAGACAACAATTCCCGGCTGGTGGCGAGCGCATCTGCAGTTTAATGCGCATGTGAACTCAGTCGTGGGAGTGAGTGTCTGTGGAATATTTCATCCCCCACGAGAGAGAGAGGGAGAGAGGGAGAGAAGGAGAGAGGGAGAGAGGGAGAGAGGGAGAGAGGAAGAATGAGAGGGAGAGAGGGAAAGAGGGAGAGAGGGAGGGAGGGAGGAAGAGAGGAAGGGAGGGAGGGAGGGAGAGAGGAAGGGAGGGAGGGAGGGAGAGGAATGAATGCCTTGGTACATTTCAGTGCCGTATGCTGAAGAGGCATCACAAGGCAGAGGGAATGATGGGAAGAGGAAAATATGGGGCCAGTGTGGTGCAAGGACCATGCTGTCCTTGTATTCTGGGTGCAAGGTCCGCATTTTGAATGACCCCGAGGCAGCTCTTTGAACTCTGAGATGAATTCCCTCCTCTGTCTGTAGAATAGGTTGACTTCTTTGGACACACACACACACACACACACACACACACAAAAGAGACAAAGGCCATATCAAATTATTCTTTTATTGTTCCAGTCAAAAAAAGAGGAACGCCTCAATATGTAAACAGTTTCCCTAACACAGCGAGTTCTTAAATATATATATTTATTCTAAAAAAAATTTGGCATTGTAGAGATTTCTCAATACATAATTTGTGCTTTCGCATTTAGCATGCTTCCGCCTCGTTGCTTGCGCGTGCGCAGACAGACTTGGAGTTGAGTAGAGGGAGTTACAAAAGGATGGACGTGTGGGTCAGGAGCCAAACCAGGGCCTGAGGTCTGCCTGGCTTTCGCTTTCCAAAAGCTTGGCAGGAGGTTGGCAACAATGACCTCAGAAGCAGGTATCAGCTACTTTACTGCGAAGAAAAGTTGAAGCCTTCGCGGGAGATTTCTGGATTTCTGGGGAAGATTTTTCTCCCTGTGTTTTTCTGCGCATTTCTAAAAGATCATTGGTTTTTGCGTAAAGTAAGCTCCAGGGGGTGCCCAGGGTTCTCAGTGTAGGATTTTGCCAGCCTTAGAATTTACTATCACATGCCTCTGAAATTCCAATTTTTCCAGCTACCCCCACCCCACAGATTCCCTGAATTATTTGGGAGTGCTTGGACAGTTGTGCCAAGGCCATCCTGCTTCGGTTCCGAGGAAAATGTCCTCCTGTTCAACCGTAAAGCGTCAGGAGCTACGACACTGTGATGGCTTTATTAATAAGCCTGTCTGTGTCCCTCCTTCAGGATCATCTACAATTTAGCACCAGTTTTCACAATGTATTTTTATCAAATCCCCTGGGAGGTCATCTACCCTGTATAGGCCACCCCTCCCCCACAGCACGTCTCAATCCGGCCCCTCATTATGACACGCCTTTCCCCTGGAAAGCCCGCCAAGGCCTCAAGGAATATCAGGTATGTCCCTTCCTGCCACGCCATCCTGTTGCTGAGTGTTTATATAGAGACTGGCTGGCTGTCCTTAAATTCCACTCAATGTGTTAAAGCTGCCCCTCCAACTAAGTATTTTATCGCTAAAACTAGACTCACTTGCTTCTTGTGTGATATGGGGATCAGGATTTAATCCCAGGGTTTTGTGTGGTCACACAGTAAGAGCTGTGGCCATGGGTGGTGTTTGCTGTAGACAATGGAGGAGGTTACTATTTATTATCCTTCAGGGTACCTTGCTTAAGACATTGCTCACGGACAGCGAGTGCTCGCTGAGTGTCCATGACCAGAATGCCTCGTGTAGAGCCTTGTCCTTGTCTAACTTTAGCTAGCTGCTGGATTGTTTGGCACGCTCTCAGCCTTGAAGACTGCCCTATACCTGAAAACGAGAGCCTTCTCTGTAGGACATAAGCATTTTATTAGGGAAACTGCTGGGGGCAGAGTTGAAGACTAAGTCTATTTGTGTTCCTACTTTTTTTTTTTTGTGGGGGTGTTATGCTTGCTTGAAACATTTTAAAATTTAATTTAAATTTGTCTGTGTGAGTGTGTGTTACTTGTGTGTGGGTGCCTGAGACTATCAGAGGAGGGAACCAGTCCTCTGGGGTCGCAAGCTGCCCTGCATGGGTGGTGCGCACCAAACGTGAGTCCTCTGAAAAGCACTGGCCATTCTCAGCCCCTGGGTCTCAGCCCCAGCCCTTTGTGTTCTTTAGAAATGGATTCCAGTGGGGACCTCATGACACCTGAGCTAAAGGGCCAGTTCCAGGGCTCCTTGGGTTTGTCTCGATAGGTCTTTGTGATGGTTTGGTGAGAGCTTTATGGTCCACAGAAGCACAAGACAACTCTGGACTAGGGACTCAGTCTTAGCCTCGGTTTCATTCAACCATGATAAAAGGATGTTGGCATTGACAATGGGCTTTTGAACTAGTGAACTTTCCAGAATAGTTTCTTTCCTATCCTAGCTCACAGAGAAGCCTCCTATTTTACTCAGCACACAAACCTCAGGCCCTTTGCTGAGAAGGCAGATACAAGTCATTTTAAACCAATAATGAAAAGGATTTCTTCTTTCTGCTTTGGGTAAACAACTAAAACGTGGCAGAAGATAAGCAATGCTGCCAACCGTGTTACAGCTAAAACACAGCAGGGCTCCTGAGCACTCCCAAGGCTTCATCTTCTGCTGAGCGTTTGGTTTAGACTCAACAGCTCTGGTGAAGTTCCTCCATGCATATTTCCAGGGGCAGAGCTGGAGTTGCGATGAAATCAGCTTGCCAGTAACATGCCGGTATTGGGTTACTTAAAAAAAAAAATGACCTTTATTAATAGGTATCTGTTGTGTTAGAATGGTCATGTGTGTTGCTCAGGTGCATCGGAAACCCTACAGTGGAGTTACAGGTTGTTGTGAGTCTCCTGATACAGGTGCCTGCCACCAAATTCTGGTCCTCTGCAAGAGCAGCATGTGCCCTTAAAAACTGAGCTGTCTCTTCCATCCCCTGGATGACTTTCTTGTCTAATGTGCGGACGTGTGTTTATTTTATGTCACTGATGCTGGCCTTCTGTGAAGCATTTTCCTACATTGGTGGAGGTCACAGTGCCCTAAGAAAACCCCTACCTCATAATTGCTTATCTGCCACCTGGGTTAGTGTGGTAGGAGAGGGGAGAGGGGTGTGGCTGGTGGAGGAGAGATGGGGGTGTGGCTGGTGGAGGGAGGAGAGCTGGGGACAGGAGTAGTTTTGGAAGCTACTTTGGAAGAATTTCCAAAGTTAAAAGTTGACTCAGTTAGGGACCATGGGTTTAAGAGAGCCGCAGACTTAGACTGATAGGGATGTAACTAGAATCATAGAGACAGACGGTGGGTCAAACAGAGCTGGAAAAATGAGGAATTGAACATCAGGTGACAGACTCTTCTCGGGGACAGAGAGAGCATTCATCAGGACACTCTGTTCTGAGCCGTTAGAATACCTTAACACATTAAGACTATAAAAGTTCTGTAGTGTTCCTTTTCAGAGCACAGTGGACTTAAGCTAGAAGTCAATAATAGAAAGAGGCTCGGGAAATCTTTAAACACTTTAAGGTTAAACAGCACAGTTCGCAGTAACATGGGGTGTAGGAAAAAAAAATCTCAAGAGAAATTAAAAAAATACTCTGAACTGAGTGAAGATGAAATCACAATTTTAGACATGAAGTAAAAATAGAACCTGAACACAAATTTATAGCATCAAATGCATCAAGCAAAAAAGTAATTTATAATCAGTCATCTAAGTAGGAGTGGATTAAATCCAGAGTAAGCACGGTAGTAAAGAAGGGCATGGGCTGACAGAACTGAAACAGGAAGTCACAACACTCATGGAACCAAGAGCCCAAGAACCAGTTCTCTGAAATAAAATAAATTAAATTTCTAGTGGACAAGGAGAGAGAGAGAGAGAGAACTAGAAACCCCTGCAGAAGTGGATGGAAGGGTATATATAGCTACAGACCCCGTGGACACAGAAGACACGGAAGGATGCATCCACGCTCTCTGCTTGAGTGAAGTAGACTCATTCCTGGAAACATACAGTCTGGCAAAGCTCACACGAGAGGAAACAGATGATCCCAAAGCTCTGTACATTAGAGACTTTAAAGCTTTGTTTATTTTTATTTGTGTGTATGAGCGTGAATGCCTGTATGGTTTATGTGCACCACACACATGCGGTAGCCCGAGGAAGCTGAACCCAGGCCCTCTGCAGAGCACTAAGCAAGCTTAACCGAGGAGTCCTCTCTCCAGCCCCGACTTTAAGTAAATTATTCACGACCTTTCCAGCCAGAAAGTACTAGGTCCAGATGGGCTCATTCTGGGTGGAGTCTTCCAAGTAGTTAAGGAGGGAAATCTAGCAATTCTCTGTAATCGCTTTCAGAGGATGCAATTAGAAGAAACACTTCTCAATCCACACTAGGAGTCCAGCGTCACCCTAAGGACAAATGAGGAAAAGATACTTCAGTGAATGAAAACTACAGGTCAATAGCTCTCACGAACACAGATCCAAATATCCTCAACCACAAACAGCTCACGAATTGAATCTAACAATGCATGAAAAGAATTATATACTATAACCAAGTGGGATTTATGCCAGATAAGAAAAGCAGTTGAACATCCAAAAGCAAATGCCTGTAATCCACGCTGTGGGCAGAGTCATACACATCATGTGTGCTGCTACTGTTGGACGCAGAGGGAGAATTTGATCAAACCCAAGCAGCCATCCACCATGAAAGTCCTCAGTAGGAATCAGAGAGCTGAAATCACACAGTAGCATGGCCCTTTTAGAATTTTTTAACTTAATTATTTGCACTTAATGTTATCCTATGTTGTGCCATGATTCTGTGGATTGTTTTTTCGGTTTTGGAATGCGTCACTGTTGAGCTGTCTGCTTGTTCATTCACTTGTCACAGGGGTGCATCTTGGTCTCTAAGCCTTCTGCAGTTACTAATAAAACTGCTCTAAACACAGAGGTTCTCTATAAAGTATGGCTGGAGGGATGTTTCTTTTTTATTTTTACCGTTTATTTTGGCATTTCTTTAACTAGGGGAGTGGTCTTTAAAACTCCCTTCGGTTCACTTCACTTAGCTGACAGAGACTTGTTTTCTGTTCAGACCCAGAATGGGAGCTTTTTGACGTGATTCTGGGTGTAGATGATGCAATAAGACAAGAAAAGTTAATAAAAGATACGCAGATTGGGAGGGAAGAAACAGTTATCATTTACAGATGAGACGCTCACCTCTAGACCATCTTTAAGAAGTGACCACCCCCCCTTTTTTTGTTTTTGTTTTTTCAAGATAGTGTTTCTCTGTGTGGCCCTGACTGTCCTGTAACTCGCTTTGTAGACCAGGCTGGCCTCGAACTCACCTGCCTCTGCCTCCTGAGTTCTGAGACTAAAGACTTCAGCAAAGCCAAGATTAAAAAAAATAATTACATAAAGATTTTGGACATAAATTAGTATACAAAACCATCTGTTTTCTTATTCACTAGCAATGAGTGATTAGAATCAGAAATAAAAAATATAATCATTTAAATTAGTAGCCCTTGACGTAAATATGCTTGGGTATAAGTCTCATAAACCATGTTTAAGATCTATATGAGGAAGACTATAAAGGGGTGAAAGACACTGAAGACCCAGATAAACAACAAAACCAGCCTTGTCAAGGTGTTTTCTCTTCTTATCTTGATCTTTAGAGTTAACGCCATACCAATCTAAAGTCAAGTAGATTAATTTGTAGATATCAGCTCTCTAAAGTTTACATGAGAAACAGAAGACTCAGAATAGACAAAATGAATCATTCACTGTTGAAGAAACTGTGCAAAGACAGACGGCAGGTGTTGTTCCTTTGCGGAACTACAGCTCCCAGCATTCTCCTGGACTATGGACATATTCCCAGAAGCCTTTGCATTCCCCGTTAAAAAGCGAGGGCCGCCACGAGCTCTCTCTCTCCTCCCCCCCCCCCCCCCGCCTTTCCTGTTGTGTTTGCACACCTTTTACCTGCCCATTGTTACCCCTCCCCCATTAAAAGTGCACCCACGTGGGACCGCCATGTGTCTGTGTCTTCTTCCTCGCGTAATGTCTTTACCCTCTAACCCGCAGACAAGAAAGCCAGCCAGAAATTAAGAACAACAGCAGGTGCCACCAAATGCTAGGACTGGTAGTGAAGTGGCTGTATCGGTAGAGAAGGTGTGGTATTGGTAAAAGCGTTGGCGGGCTGGGCACAGATGATAGGCCTGACTAGAGAGCCCAGAAACAGCCGCATAAATCCAGCAAAGCGACAAAGGCTGCTATTTCAGCAAACTGTTAGACACATCAAAATTAAGATAAAAAAAGAATCTGAACACAAACCTCACACCAAACAAACATCAGTTCAGACCCATCATAGATGTGGGGAATAGATAAAAGGACAGAACTCCCAGGAGATAGTAGACAGTCTGGGTGATCTGGGGATGTGACAGGTCCTACATATAGCTCCAAAGGTACATCCCATGAGAGATGGTTGCCAGGCTGGACTTCATGGAAATAAGAAACTTCTGCAGAGAAAAAGACACTCTCAGAGAATGGCCAGCAGCGAGGATATTTGCGAAAGTCTCAGCTAATGAAGAACAAGAGTCCAAAATATACAAAGAGCCTTTGCAGTTCAAGAACAGGAAAATAAATGCCCACCTACAGAATGGATGAAAGATGGCAGCAGAGACCCCAGCATGGCAATCTACAGACAGGCAGGAGTCTCTGAGAAGGTGTTTAATGCCATAGTTACCTGCATGGTACACAGCCATAGCATATTACACACCTGTAAGAAGGGCACAGGTCCACCAGATGCTGGGAGGAGCAACCCAGAGCTCTCTCTCCTTCCTAGAAGAATGGAAGGATAGTACAGCCCCCAGGGAAGACAGCTTACAAGGGAAGTGTCTCACCATGTAACACAGGAATCATAATTTCTGATATTTGCCCAAATGAGCTGAAAGCTTATTTCCATATAAAAATCACAGATGGCTGCTTTTAGATGCTTTATCTCTAAAAAGGTGGATAACCAACAACCAAGACACTTTAAGTACGTGAATGGCTAAGTAAATTCTGGTCTGTCCAGAAAATGGAATATTGTTCAGAAGTGGAGAAGGAAGAGCTAGGAAGCCACCAGAAGCCACTGGAGGGACCCGAGTGTATACTACCAAGTGTATACTACCAAATGTATACTACCAAGTGTATACTACCAAGTGGAAGAATGCAGCTCCAGAAGACTTTCCCTGGGTGACTGCAGCCACAGTCTATGGAAGAGGCCTTATGATGCAGACCGAGAAGGAGCAGGGGGCATTAGAAAGAGGGAGGGGCTGCAGAGGAATTGTAGGGCAGCCAACCTGCTCTATATAACACTACAGCAGTGGGAAACTGTCCTTACACAGCTGCTCAAACACATTCGATGTTCACGGACAAGAGTGAGCCCTAACTTCACCTCCACATGTGGGTGATAACAGTGTATTGGGGTGAACTTATGAACAGTGGTGTGTTTTGTCAGGGTGAGGGGAGTGGGAGGGGATGTGGCACATGGGGACTCTGTACTTCCTGCTTAATTTTTCTGTGAACTTAAAATGTCCCTAACAATTATAACTTACCACTTAGAAATAAAAAGGAGCATTGGGAGACGTCCAGTGATTCATCTAAGACCACATAGCTCATTTGAGGGGCGGGCAGACCGGGGCCAAGCTCCCAGACTCCAACAGAACACTGTTGGGAGGTTCGTGTTCCCTACTACGTATCCTGTGTGTGGGCCAGCGATGTGTGAGATCACTTAATAGCTAATGCCCCTGCGATGACCTGGAGGGTGATCCTCATTCATGTTTAGTCTTCCAGAAACCTTTCCTTTTCGATTTAACTTTTATTACTTTAAAGTGTGTGAGTGTGTGTGTGTGTGTGTGTGTGTGTGTGTGTGTGTGTATGTGTGAACATGGTTGCAGCTGCCTGCAGAGCTCAGAAGTGCCACATTCTCCGGAGCTGGAGTTACAGGCAGTTGTGAGCTGCCTGACATGGGCCCTGGAACCTAACTCCTTCATAAGAGCAGGAACTGCCACATCTCCAGTCCCACCTTTTGGGAGCTTGTGTGGACTTGGTCATAGCTGATTGGGAGGTCTAAGGATGTGGTCTGTGCGTGCGCATGCATTCACACACATGTGCTTATGAGTCACTGTTTGATATTTTCCAGTTGGTATGTTCGTTGTGAAGGTCTGGGAACATTTCACCACACTGTGCAGCATTCAGAGAATTCTTCATTCCTTGAGAACAGGGCACGCAGAGGGAAAGATGTAAATAGGAGGGATCATGTGCTAACCAGCTGGGAGTGCTGGTGCCTACTGTGACAGAACTCCGAAAACCAGCTAGGAGCAAGTCCTAAGGTGTGATTGTCTGGGCTGTGGAAAATTCTCACTTATCCTCTCCTGTCCCTGAAGATACAACAAGCCCACTAGGTGAGCCCTGGGCCAGCCCTGGGTGCTGAGATCAGCTGCGTGGGCGTGCATCAGCCCTGGGTGCTGAGATCAGCTGCGTGGGCATGCATCAGAGATCTTTGTGAAAGCAGATGCCCACGTCACACCTCCCTCATCTACAGCACTCCCATATCCCAGTTCTCTCCCTTCCTTGTCCTCTGCGATTGCTGTGGAATCGTCCCTGCCCAGTTGACTTCCTTTCAGCCTGCTCTAGGGGCCAGACTGGCTCGCACGTTGAACGCATCAGTGCTCAACCCTCCTTTCGCATGTCCATCAGTACACAGGAGCCTAGACCCAGGCTCAAGTCAGAAGGAAACACAAAGCTCAAGAAGAAACAGAATTCTGAGGGCGCTGAACTCTGGATAAAAACGAGTATCTTTAATTTGAAGTAAGATTTTCAACAATAAACTGTATGTTGATTTATGTTTCTCTCTCTCTTTTTTGAGGTAAGGTTTCACATAGCTCAGACTGACCTTGAACTCCTGATCTTCCTCCATGCATCTCCTAAGTGCTGAGATTATGGGCACGTGCCACTATACCCAGCAAATATGAATAATCTTTTATTGTTTGTACTTAGGCTTATTATTGAAACATTATTTGTTTAGAGCCAGTCTTAATATGGAAGACAGTGTTTACTTAAGAGAATGGCAATTCTTTGGACATCTGTTACATTGGATACTGTGAATATACTTTCTGGGGTTTTAAAAAGATAAGGTGTGTGTGTGTGTGTGTGTGTGTGTGTGTGTGTGTGGTGTGAGACACAATGTGGTCACTATGTGCACACTGCTGTAGGGTGCAACAAGACCACCCCACACTTGGTTGCCAAATGAGCACACATGTATTGGGCCCTGCTCTCGTTTCTTTGGGCTACCCCAAAGGCTGTCTGCAGAGTTCTGCTCCTGGGATCTCCCCTAAGCCTCCTCTAGTCTGCACAAGAGTGGTCCACACTCGCAGATGGAGGGTTGCTATGGCAGCAGCTGAACTGGGAAGCAGTCTGGGTAGCAGTCATGTCAGAGTGCTGGGTGTTTGTATAGGCTGTGAGCAGAGAAAAGACCACTTTGCCAACGGGGGCACATGCATGGGTCACGGCGGAACCTGTGTGTGTGTGCCTGCACTGCTGTCGTGCGTGCCTCTGGTTATAGAGGAGGCATGCTGGGATGAACAAAGGTCCTCGGGACTTCTTGAGAAGTCTGGAAACTGTCTAGGTGATCACAGGCTGCAAATGGGAGGACAGAAAGACCCAACCAGGCAAGCCCATTTGTTCCCCAGCGCCAGGCCTCGCTTGACCCTGCTCTGGTCATTTGCTGGGAGGAGGTCAAAGAGGTCCAGATACCAGTAGTAAGCTCAAGGTGCATAATGACAGGAGCAAAATGGTCTAAATACTTTATCTGGGGGCGAGGGGGGGGAGGTGTCAGACGCCAATAAAGTCAGCAGGAGTGAAGAGTTAGCGGTAAGAGATGGGCCACACATTGCAGACGCTGCGCAAAGGTGGAGTTAAAGAACTCTCCTCCTTTGGCAGCTCTGTCAGGGAAGATGTGTGGATGCTGTGACCTGGGTGGCTTCCAACGGAACAGCACTGAGGCTTGCTTAGAAAGGGGACAGGTTCCACTCTCCAGAAGGGAACTGCAATATCCCGAGTGACTGACTTCCTGTCCTCACAGCTCTGCGAACCCTCATAGTGAAATTTTCTCAAGTATGAAGCCTTTGATGTGTAATAAAAACAGAAACTCAGGATATCACGGAGATAATCGTTCTGGTGAAATCAGAACTTCTGGGGATTTCTTTCGGTGTGCTGACTTCAGTTTTGCCTTAATATGTTATTGGGTTTATATTTGGACAGGGTTCCCTGGTACCTGGCAGACTCCAAAGGTCTAAGTTCATTTCTGACTCAGGAGGTGATCTGTGGAGTCAAGAACGCCTCCCAGGCATTCTTAAAAAATCTCAGGTCCTTAAGACACTTCTAGGGGGCCATCATCCAGATGCACAAGGATCGCCTTGGTGGGGACACTCACTTTGAGAGGCCTCAGCAGGCGGGCATGGTGAGCCATGTGCCAGCCCAAGCTGAGCAGGGGAGAATCTTGCTCACTGTCACCCACAGGCAGAGGCACTGAGAGAGGGTGGGTCTGAGGACAGTGCCCTCCCTTCTCTGAAAACCCTGACTAAACATCCAGAGGTTTAGACAGTGCACAGCTGGAATCTGAGATTCTGGTTCCAGTTGATCTGTTATTTGTATTTTATGACCTTAAATCTAGCACTGGCTTTCTCCAAAAGGGCTTTCAGCCTCTACTGGGTCTTCTCTTGGATTCCTGGGACATCCTGGCCTAGCTCCTCTGGGTGAACATACTCCGAGTGCTGTTTCACTTTGAGAAGCTCTGGTGATTGGGATATTTATTTCACTAGTGCTTGCTGGTAGCGGATATTTACATGGCCTGAGAAAAGCAGCCCTTCGTGGTCTCACAAAGATTGGCGGCGTTGATATAACAGTTTTCATGATGGGTGCTGAGCCTTGATCTCTAGGTGGTCACTTGCACATGGATAGTAGGAACTTGTCTACCTCTGAAGCTGATACCTGTTGACTCTGTGACCATTGCTATCTGCCAACCACATGCACACCAGGATCCCAGTCTAGGGGAAGAGGGGCCAGAAGAACATGACGGTACATTTCATCTGTGGCCACCCCTCCCTTTCCCGGCAGAGGAGCAAATCCACGAGCTAATCTCATATAGCATAGCTTCCCTTTCCCTGGGGCGGCTCCACACGGATTAGGTGGCTGTGTGAAGCTTCCTTTTGCTAAGGCAATGAGGCCAAGTAGGAGTTTGGCTCTTTTTACATTTATTTAAGTTTCATGGTGTTGGACTTTGAGACTGTGTGACCTGGTTGTAGCTTCCGAGTGGCGGAGAATCGTAGAGATCAGCATGGTCCCTGTGGCAGACAGCATTACCTCCTAAGTTTGGGATGTGGGAACACATTTTCGCTTGTCCGTCCACAACACCACATGCAATGGTTTGTCACAGAATGGTTTCTTTCCCATCTAATTTCCTGGAAATCATAAATCATTCATAAGAGAACTTGATATTATGCGCTCTCTCTCTCTCTCTCTCTCTCTCTCTCTCTCTCTCTCTCTCTCTCTCAGAAAATAGAACTGTCAAGAGAAAGAACTGAACTTGGCTGACTGGTGTGAGAAATGTTTCCTTAGAACTGAGGTGGGTCAAATTTGTGACTCCAGACAATGCCATTTTAATATAGCCATATCTAAAATCCCCGTTAGTGGGATGTGGTCTGCTTTGCCGTTACCTTGTCCCTTCCGTCCACTCCCCTTCAGCTTGCAGAGACCTCGTGAGTTCCCAGAGAAGGACAACTGGTCATCCATCCGCATGCTGAGCTTCTAGCTAAGAGGCCAGAGAGCCAGGGCCAGTGTACAGAAATATTGACAGTGGCTCCAGGACCCTCTTCACCTCACCGATCCATCTAGAGTTCCATCTAGAGGAACCAGTGAGACCCCTCAGCAGCCGGGTCCTCCTCCGTGCTGGCAACTACCCCTGAGCAGACACCAGTGGACAGAAGGGTCTGCGGAATTTAAGGCCCTTGGGCACCAGAGAAGTCATATTCAGTTGCTGGGCCAGGCGCTTTCGTTTCTTTATTGCTCGTTAAGGAGTGGTTCTGCTCTAGCTGCTTCCAGGGTGGACATCAAATCCCAGAAGGGTGTGTAGGAAAAGGAAGCCTCTCTGAGAGCCCTGACTATATGACCGACTCTCAAAAACATGTTTTCCTGGAAGTGACTCCAGGAGATTTGGGCTGGGAAAGGAGACCATTCTCTGAGAACAACCCACGAGAATAGTGTAATTCTTAAAACTGTGGCTACGCGCTTAATGGTCGTGTTGGTAATAGTACAGATGTTGGCCAGCTGCACAGTCTCTCAGTTACCCAGTTCTTCTCCTACAGACTCAGAGCAGCGAGAGGCAGTGCACGCACAGATGGTGTGCTATGTTCCAATGAAACTCTTTATGGACCAAGATTTGAATTATTTTCTTTTGAGACAGGGTCTCATGTAGCTCAGGCTGGTCCCAAATTCTGCACGTAGCTGAGGATGACCTTGAACTCCTGACCTTCCTGCCTCCACTTCCAAAATGCTATAATGGGTGTGTGCTAACAGGTTTTGTTATGCAGTACTAGGGCCCAAACCTGGGGCTTTGTGCAAGCTCAGGAAAAACCCTCTGCCAACCAAGTTACATCCTTGGCCCCTGAGATTTGGATTTTATATGTCCCTCAAATATTCTTGGTTGTTTTTTCTCCCAACCATTTGGAAGTGTATAAATTAGTGTTAGCTTGAAAGAGTGTAACAGATTAGACCCCCAGCATGTTGGTGTGCCAAACTTTTTTCTTAATAGAAACATCCCACGCTTACAGCCTTGTGACCTGGATTTGAGATCATGATGTATCATTTACTGGCCTGGAGTTTTGATGGCATGACTCAGTTTGCCCAAATTCTACATTCTCCAATGATAAAGAAGCCAGTCACAGTGCTCAGCTTCTGTGGGTTGGAGTTCCAGGAGGCAGTTGTGGGAGTGTTCTGCATTGACTGCCCAGCATCAGGTAAGATATTGTGTTATTGTCAGGTATGCAGTGTCGAGATTGTTCTGCACATTGTCCAAGTCCCCTAGCAACCTTCGGACAGTCTTGACTTCTATGTGACATTTTGAATCACAAATCCCCTCTGAGACACTGAAGGCAGACATATCAGAGAGAGGAAGGTTTCACTCTGGATTGCAAGGTGACGTTTTCTTAGATACAGGTTGGACATAAAGTCTAACTCAAGATGATGTTACAGCTGTTCTGTAATATCAATCAACCTGTCAATGTGGCTTATGTTTTCTAACTCTACAGCTATTCACTGAACTGAAGTCGTAGGAACGAGACATCTTAGCTGGTCATAAATGGGGGTCATTTTACTTGGCGTCACCTTCTTGGCGTCTGGGTTTAGAGCATTTAAAGTCAGGGAAGTAACAGAAAGTCTTCTCTGGGCCAGTTGTCTGGGTAGCGAGTGGTCTGTCTGTTTTCATGTGTCTCACTGCTAAAGGGTCTGTGTGTTTTCCGTGTACTTGTGGAGTCTTCCAAAGCATCCTTGCTCTCCCTGCTGTGCACCTTGGTCAGCCAGTCTCCAAACACTCCAAAGGTACCATCTTACATTCACGCGGAAAAGCAAACTGTGACCATGCAGGCTTTAAAACGAAGCCACAATTAAATTTCAATTAGAGTATAATGAAAAAAAAAATAAACCCAGGCATGTCAGAGTCCTATTTTGATTAAACCTGTAAGAGAAAAGTTGTGCTTAAGAAACAGGTCGACGTTTTGATACAGTAGCTCGATTTCTGCTAGGAAAGTTAGGTACTAAATGAAATCAATAGATTTGGAATAGAGAGAGAACAAAAGGGGGGGACAAAGAGGAAGGAAGTAAAGGAAGAGGGGTTCCACCTCATGGCTATGGAGTCACACTCACACCCCAACACGATGTTCAGAAGGACCTGAAAAGGACCGATTCTACTGCGTTAGCCTGTGTTAGTGTGTGTTAGCCATGCGCCCAGGGGGCCGCCAGAAGCAAACAGCTGTATTGATTACATGAAGTCAATCTGTTAATGGATAGGGACTCTCCCTAGAAAGTTAATGGTAGGAGGGTCAGTAGAGCAAGGACTGCAAGGATCTCCCCTACCCCTCCCTTCCAGATGAACCTCAGGGAGCTCTTTTGCTCTGTGGGATTGGGGTCTACTGTGACAACTGTCCCCCTTGAGTTCCAGGGTCTTATCTGGACCATGGATCTCACTGTGCTTTATGGGGGAAAAATGACTCGGAGACACCAACCAAGTAGTCCAAAATATCGAGGGGGAGGGGAAAGGGTGGAGTGAAGGAGAGGAGGTGGGAGGGAGAGAGAAAGAGAGAGGGAGAGCGCTCTATTGGTTGTGGATCACTTGGTTCATTGTGTGTTTTCATAGCACTTGGTCTACTGGCAGAGAGAGGGACTGGGGATCGTGGACTAGAAAGGGGAGGCTTTGGGGGTCCCTTTTGTTGAATTAACTTAATGAAAAACCCCATAGACTACTTGCTGCTTAGAAAATTCAGTCGTAATGACCTTCTTTCAAATTTTAACAGTAGACACAAAATACACTGTCAAACCGTTTTCTTGGTGACTGTAGAAAAATAGACACGTTTGGAAAGGACATTCTAACAAAAGGTCCTTCAGGAGCTCCCGTCTTTAAGGATTCTGAGCTCACGTCTGCCACCAACCACAGTGACATCAAGACCCTGAGAGGCAGAGAGAGACCCCCCAATCAGAGTGTCCTGCTGAGGCCACAGCATGTCTGTGCACGGGGCTATTGTCCGGGTGTCCTGAAGAGCAGGGGAGAAGGGCAACTTCAAAGCTGCTCTTTCAGCCCATCAATAGGGGAGATTGTCCTTCAAACTTCAGTCATAGATTTAAAAAGGCCCAGTGAGTCTTCAAGAGCTAGTCAGCAGACATCTGGCGGCTTTCCCCATCTTTCTTTGTGCTACACAGGCCCTGCCCTGGGCTGCTGCAGGCTGGTGCCCAAAGCAGGGCATCTTTCATAAGGCTAAGATAAGGTCAAGCCTCTTGGAAATCGGGCTCCTTCCTCCACCATCTCCGGCTTAGAGTGTGCAGAGAGAATGCATGACTTGATTGATAATAACCAAGGCCAAAGGGAAATGCTGGCAGGCAGGGAAGGGCTGCAGCCAATAGCTTTGTTTTCCAGAGTCAGAGCCAAGAAATAGTTGTTTGGGTAGCAAGATCTCTGCAGACGGAGAGGAACAGCCCAGATGCTGGATGGAGAAACCACTTCCCATAATTCCTGACTCTTATAGACCAGGAACTCAGATTACAGCAAAGCCCTGTGCAGTCTGGTCAGGGGTGGCAAAGGGGAACCAGGGAGCAGCTAGTTTGACCTCTTTGACCTCCGTGGGGCAAAGTCTCAAACTGAGCACATCTATAGGAGCTGAAATAAATTTAGATCCTTCGATGCGTATCTATGATGTGCAATGGCGTTGGAGAATGAACAGTTTATAGGTGTAAAATCAATGAGAAAGATCGGTTACAGTGCAAAATCTCCACCTGCCCCAACGTCTCACCCGAGAGTCTCTTTCCAGTCCACTTTTCATTCATTTGAATTTAGATTGTTATGCATGTTGCCTGCCTTCCTTTGTTCATTCATTCTCTCCTTCTTTGAAGATTAAAATAAGCTAGGAAGAATGGTTTGATGGTTGTTGTTTGTGCTCTTTTGATTGAGAGGCCCTTGGAGAAGATTGCAAGTAGTGGAATACTCTCGTACTCTGGAAGGACCTTTGTATGCCAGACTCTGGCCATTTCATAATAATAGCAACAATAATGATGAGAGAAGATTTAAAAAAAAAACAGCATAAGAAATGGTAAGGACAGGCCCCAGGGAAAGGCTTGCCCGATGACGTCAGAGGGCAGGGAGTTGGTAACGCAATATTGTCACCCATTGCATGACTTCCTGAAAGCCGTGGCTTCACACCCAAGTCGCCCTCTGCTGACTTGCCACATGAAATGCCCGCAGTTTCTTGTGACTACATAGAAGAGCAATCAATGGTTTTACAGAAAGTTTTCTTAAACTGCTGTGCACCAAAGGGTTAGGGTTTATGGCGAGTGTCACGTGGGGGGCTGCGCTAGTCCCTGTTCCCCAGGCTGGTCAGAGAGACCCTTGCTATCTATAAACAAATGACATCCATTTTGTAAATGTGTCACAGTAGTTCAGAGTTTTGGGTGGTGGGATTTGCAATCTGCTGCCTCTGGACTGTCCTCAGACCTATGGCTTATTAGATTCAACAGAAGGATCACAAGGGAACAGAACGGTACCCTAGCAGCTGTCAACCTGGGGCCTGGAACAAAGGCCATGCATTTAGAGGGCCAGCAGTCAGGGGGATCAAGATGATCAAAAGACACAGATAACAAAATAGAAACACCTACTGTACATTAGGAATCTTTTTTCTTATTTCTAAAGTTGTATTTCTCAAGCTACATGAATGATACATTATGTACAATATTAGGAGTTCTGCTCCACGGTACTCTTGTGCATGCTGAGTGGTGTTACTAATTGCCAAAAGAAAATAATTCCATAGGGCAGATCTATGTACAGTGGTCTATCCCTGGCTATCTGGGTCCTGCACCCATAGTGTCTGAGTGGGCAAGCACCTGCCCTGTGCTAGGTGAGATGAACTGGATTCTGTAAAACCGAATGGACTATCCGGTGTGACCTACGGCCACGGTAAGCAGGTGACCTCTGGGCACTGGGTAAAACCCTTGACAGCTCTTTTGAGTGACGTATGTTGGACAGTTAAGTGGGTCAGTGGATAAGTCTCTCCTGAGGGTGGAGACCAGGCTTGGGCCACAAATACAGGTACCCTGACCCTCGACCAAATCCCTGTCTGCTCGTCCATCTGAACATCTGAGGGCAGGTAGGCATTTTACACCTTGAAGATTTGTTTTCTGGAAATGCCAAAATGAAATATAAATAAATCAAGATCAAAGTGAGAGAAACAGAAGAGAGGGACATGAGAGACAAGGAAGGGTGGTGTCTGAGGGGAGGGAAAGGCTGACCCAGCAGGGCCTACACTTTGGATTCATTCTCTAGGTTTGCCACGTCACCATTCCTCTCCGTTTGTTCTTCCGGGTTCTTCTCTTCTTCTTCTGTCTCCAGTTCTGCATGTTGGTTCAGTTTGCTGGACACGGACCAACTCAGGGGCAGCTCTGCCCTGTTAGCCAGCTCGGCCAGCTCTTTGGCACTAAGGGACGGGGTGCTGGTCTCGTAGGTCTCATGGAAGCTGTTGTAGTCAACTTCGTAGAACCCATCTTCCAGCGTTAGGACGGGGGTGAAGCGGTAACCCCACAAGATCTCACTGGTGATGTAGGAGCTCCGAGCTTGGCACGTCATTCCTGTGGAGAGGAGAAAAGGCTTTAGGATACATGGGCTTCCAAGGCCAAGGAGACCTGGGGACCTGAGCAGAGCTGTTATGTGCAGACATTTATACTGTATTGTAGAGGAGGGTGACATCTCTGGTGCTATCTTTCACATTGTAGACACGTGCCATGAAACTCCAGGACTTTCTAAGACTGGCAAACTGAGTTCAATCCCCCAAATCCCATGTAGATGTGGGAGATTACTGACTCCATAAAACTGTCTTTTGGCTGCCTCTCACACACAGTGGCAATGCATCCTCCCCACACACAATCTACCCACACATCTCCATAGACATTAATAAATAAAGCAAATTAAGAAATTTATAACTTGTTAAATTGCACAGAATAAGTGACCATAGGGTGTTCAGTCACAAAAGGGACATCGATATCCTGAGACTCAGAGACCATTACAGAAGAGAGGCAGAAAGACTGTGAGCACCAGAGGGTCAGGGAAGACTGGGACAGAGTGCTTTGGACGTCACAGGACCTCATACCTAGGAACTCACAGACATTGTGGCTGACTGCACAAGACCAAACCACTTTATATCCTAGCATGGAATAGAAGGGGTTCATGAGCCCCCACCTCCGACTGTGGGGTTATGGACAGTTGATGACTTTGGGGTGAGGGAGTTAGTTTGTTTTTCCACAGAGAGTGGCTCCTAGTGGGTTGACCATATTCTAGTGAATGATTGCACAAACAGAAGTAATGGAGAGAATAAATGAGTTGATGGGTTATTAACAAAAAGGGGAGGGGGCATGAATTGTTGGTGGGTAGGAAGGATCTGGGAGAAGTTAAGGGGGTGAATGGGTGCTGAATATGATAAAAATACATTGTATGGCATTCTCAAAAAAATTAATAAAAATGTTTCTTGCAAAAACACAAACAAAATAGTTATGGAAGCCAAAAGGCTTGTAACACCCCCCCCCCCCATGTTAGCACAACTGATGCCATGATGATGTACCATTCAGGCCATGAAACTCAGTACTTAGATAGTACCCCTGGCCAAATCCATCTAAGTTCATAGTTCTGGGAAAGTCTCTAAAGGTATTAGCCTTGCTTTTTAGCTTCTATAGTTCCATTCTGGCTAGCTGTTCTTGTTAACTGAAGTACGTCAGCTCAGGGTAGAGTTTCTGTGTCTGAAGCTCACCTGTGAAAGATCTGGTACACTAGGAGCCTGGTGTAGTCACCAGCAGGCTAATAAAGATTTTCTATTGGATTAAACCCATGACTGAGCATTCTTCTCTGGTGGATACTCCAGAACAGGCAATGAGAAGACAGTTTTCAAAATACCGAAAGCAGAAAGATTGTTAACCAAGAATTCTATACCCAGCAAAACTATCCTTCACAAAATGAAGGAGAAATGAAGACACTCAGTAAGTACAAATGGAGATGGGTCATTGCCGGCAGCTTTGTACTGCATGAGTTCATGAAGGGAATTCTCCAGGGAAACAAAAAGGATAACTTAAATCCACATGAAGAAATAGACGCTGGTGTAGAGAACTATGAAGGAAATGCATTTTTTTCCTCACCGTATAATTTTGTGCTGCATCCATTTTCTGGTAACAGTTCTGCTGCATTATGTAGTATACCATAGGTTATTTCCCCAGTAACAGTCGTTCAGAAGTGTGTGGTCTGTGCCCTCTTAACAGCCTGGGAAGGCTCAGCCCTGATGGGGTAACGGTCACACCGGCCCAGGCAGACCCAGCCACATTCACAGGTTTCCCTGGTTGAGTTTGATCATCCCTGCCCCTGTAACTGGAAACCAGCAGAGGATCTGCAGTTGCCTATCAACTCTTCGTACCTGGTCAACTGAGATGGGAAAACAGCAAAAGCAACCGAGCTTCCACTCAACACAGCAGGCTGGATCTCACATCAGACAGACGGTCACCAAAAGAAGTCCACATGTAAGTGTCCACATGGATGTCAACAATAATTAAAGAGGTAAGGGTTTGAGAGGGGGTGGGAGCACGGTAGGAGTCGCGTGGGAGAGGGAAGTACCACGTTCCCACCTTACTTTACAAGGCAGGGTTTCTCACCAATTTGGCTAGACTGACTGCCAGCAATCCTCAGGGATCCTCCAATCTCTGCTCCCCCCGACACTGGGACTACAGGCTTGCACTGCCATGCCTGACTTTTTATCTTATTTTTCATGTGACTTCTGGGGACTGAATTCAGTCCTCACGCTTGTGCAAGAAGCACTTTACCGACTGAACCAACGTTCCAGCCTCATTTTTCTAAAAATTATTTAATCTTACAGTTTCTTTACTGAGAACTTCTCTGAGTCCCTAGTGGGTCTCCCAAGTGCTTTAGAGAATTATGTGGAAACAGCCTGTCTTTGGGCATCCACTTAATTTCCAGATAAAACCACACAGATGAGCAGTAGAAGCTCACTCCATCTCAGAGCCATAAAACCACACAGACATGTAGCTAAGGAGTCCATGGCCAAACACTGGGTAGACCCTGCACAATTTAAATTTAGCAGGTGAGGCTCTAATTTTAGATCCAGCGACAAGTTATGGTGAGAGAGAGGTCTGTGCGTAGACTAGCGATGTGATGAAAGCCATCCCGAAACAGCCCCTCGGGGCACAGCCAGAGGTGTCAGCGGCAGACAAATAACGCTTCAAGTCTGCCTAGCGAATAAGATCGCAGTAGAATAGACGGCTTCACTTCTGGATAACGTAAAATAGATCCACATTGCCGACATTCCACAACGAAGAGGGCTTGTCACAGGTGCCTTGCTGGTTTGCTTCACAGACCAGGCTTTGTGACAGGTCGTTTGCTTTTCCTGCTTCCCTCCTGCCCATCTCAGGAAGAGCTGCTCTCAGTCAGCACAGCTGGAGTCTCAGCGCTGGGCTGCCCACTGTGGGGGAATGGCACTGGGGACTCGCTGAGTCCGGTGTCAGAGGGAAGCAGGGCATTGTAATCAACACAAGGATGTGGACATAGCTGAATCTATCATGAGATACAGTCAGCCCTGCTTACGCTCAGGCTCAGGGTCCCTTCGATGCGTACTGCGCTCTCTCAGGGCCTCGATACAAACCACACTTTTTCTAACCTGGGGATCCATGGTGGCTGGTTTGCATCATGCAGAAACAAACTGAATGCACGTCTTCAAAATGACCCAAGGAAAGACATTCTGCATCCGCATTCTTACTCTGAGAAAGCCATTGATACAGTTATAATCTGAATACTGAGTCAAGTGGTAATGCTATTGGTTGAATGCTGCTGTGAACCGGGAACTGGCTGCCATGAACAGATGTTCCCTGACACCATATTTGGGCTGGAGATTCTACAGAATGATTGCCTGTCTAGAACTGTGTAATTGTGGAGAGTTGGACTATTGCAGATTAAAAGCCTGTATTATCTCCGACTATCTTGGTCTCCATAATAGCCAATTATTGCCAGCCTCTTTTTTGACCAAATAACTTTGTGGCTATTGGGTAAAGGTTTTGGTTGTATTAACTCAGCAGGCCACTAGCTAATTCAAAAGCTAAGAACATTATCAAATGGCCTCTGAGGACTGTAGAGTTTTTCTGCTTGGTTGATACTCATTCGGTCACTGTCCCGCCTGTGTGCTTGGTTGAGCTTTGGTTTCCAACCTCCTTCCATTCCTTAAAGTTCCTATAGCCACTTCCATGGTGGAACGTGCCATCTAGGGAAGCTTGAATCCAAATCCCTGGGCCGTGGCCACTCAGACTGTGGCTTGATCCCTGGGAGATGAGCTCTGTCTTGCATTCATGAGTCATCTGATCCTTGTAACAGACCCCTGAGTGGATGCTGCAGGGGAGCAGACTAAATAGAGAGAGGTTAAGGAGCTGTGACAACCCAGTGCTGTGGTCTCAGAGGTGTGATTCTAAACTCAGTGTCTTGAAACCCTGAGTGTGTATGGTGATTGGGTCTTGCGGGATTGATCCACTACCCTTATCATCTCTTTAGCAGAGGAAAAGGCAGGCATGCTGGCACATGTCTATGACTGTAGCACTTGGGAGGTGGGGGTAGGGGGACCATAAGTTCAAAGTCATTCTTGACTATACTGTGAGTTCCAGGCCATCCTGGGTTACACAAGATGTTTAAAATTTTAAATTTGTTTAAAATGTTTAAAAAATTAACAGAGAAGAAAAAGGGAGAGACCCTCAGAACAGGGGCATCCTCTTCCTGCCCAGGCATACAGGGTTGTGTGAGGACCCAGACAGTGGGCACAGTAGCATGTCTGCAACAGTGGGCACAGTAGCACGTCTGCAGCAGTGGGCACAGTAGCATGTATGCAATGGTGGGCATAGTAGCATGTCTGCAGCGGTGGGGCATAGTAGCACGTATGCAGTGGTGGGCACAGTAGCACGTCTGCAGTGGTGGGCACAGTAGCACGTCTGCAGCGGTGGGCACAGTAGCACGTCTGCAGTGGTGGGCACAGTAGCACGTCTGCAGCGGTGGGCACAGTAGCACGTCTGCAGCGGTGGGCACAGTAGCACGTCTGCAGCGGTGGGCACAGTAGCACGTCTGCAGCGGTGGGCACAGTAGCATGTATGCAATGGTGGGCATAGTAACATGAATGCAGCAGTGGGGCATAGTAGCATGTCTGCAGCGGTGGACAGACTGCGTGGATCAGATTAAAGAGGAGGGTGGCATCTTCCCGTCTCTCCTTGATGGGAGATTGTAGAGTAGGTGTTGCAATGCACAAGTGTCTCGCACACACAGAGCATTTAGCGTCTTCAGGATGTCGTTAGGAAGCACAAGCAGTTGTCATTATGCTTATTCGAGCTTGAAGGGGCTGATTTGGGCCTCAGGGTTTTAGCTCCCTTCTCTTTGAGCTCATAAAGACTCTTGGTCTTTCTAAAGACTTGGTTGAGGTGTGTGTGTGTGAATGTGTACACGTGTACATGTGTGGTATGTGTATGTCTATGTATGTGTGTATATGTATGTGTATGTATATATGTATGTATGTGTGTATGTCTTTGTGTGCATATGTGTGTGTGTG